GTGGCACCGGGGGTTCGCCGGCAGCAAGGACCGCGGTGAGGCTGGGATGCTGCGCCCCTGCTCCGGGACGGGAGGGATTTGGTGCTGTCCCGTAAGCACCTGAAAAAGTCCAGCGTGGAGCTGGGTTGTGTGATCGTGAGGGCTGGCAAAGCCAGGAGGACGCGCCTGCCACGGCCCTGGCTGCGAAGCGTTAAGTCGCAAAGATTATTTTTTCCCTTTTGTTGAAACACCCCCTCCCTAGCTAGGTCTAGTTAACATACGATACGTCTTGCAGCTAATGTTGGTCAGGAATTTATTTGAAATACATCTACATTAGAAAAACTAGATTTTTTTTTTTTTTCTTTTCTTCAAATCGCTCTAAAATATCAAAACTTATAAACTTTCCTTTGCTGCATGGAGGTTGTTCATGTGCAGGGTGTAAAACGCCCACGGCTCGGGGATATAGATCACGCCAGGGTACTTCTTCCTGAGAATTTTGTCATTCCACAGCCAAACCACCCAAACAGCGATGAGGACCAGTGTGATGATGAAGGAGTAGAAGAGAAAAAGCCCATTGCTGTCCAGGACGAGTCCTTTGCGTTTCTGGTGCATCACTAAAGCCATCATGGCAAAGAAAGTGAAAATGTAGAGGATGAAAATCTGACCCTCCGTCACGAGGTACCTACAAAGCAAAAACACCCGTTAGTGCCGCCGGGAGAAAGCACCGGCGCTTCCAGCTTTACCTGGGGTCAGCGTCTCGCCCTTCTCCCTGCTCTACATCCAGACAGAGCTGCGCTGCTTTCTCCTGCCAGCTTTTACGCTGCAATTTCACGTTTCTCATCAGTAATTTAACAACAGAGCTACGGGCTTCATTAGGAGACCGGGTAAAGAAACGCGCGCCCAGTACGGGATTTGAAAGGTGCAGGGCTCAGTTTGTGCATGCGATGCTTAAAGGCAGAACCGAAGCCAGGCGCTGGCTGCAGCTCGAGGATGTTGTGCTCGTTTAGTCCAAAAATCCACTGCTCCCCCTGCGCTGCGCCTGGCAGCGGCCAGTCCTGAACGGGTGTTAGCGGGGGGAAGGAGGAATTACGCTCCCTGGTTCTTCAATGGCTAGCACGCGAGCTGCGGAGAGTCACGCCGGTATCTTTAAAAGGAAGTGCAATGGGGTGACTGGGAACTGACCACATCTTCCTGATGATTTTGACTATCAAAAATTAATTTACTGTATAAAAAGTCTCAGCAGGGGGCAAAGCCACGGGCAAGAGAGAACATCATCTCTGAAGATGAATGAAAAGTTGTTTGGCTGCCATCGGGGAAACCGTTTGGGAAGATGAGGCTAATGAAAATGGGAAATAAATACGGCCTCTCTCAAAAGGCAATTTGGACCCACAGGGCGAGCCGAGGAGGCAGCATCTGAGCATCACCCAGGTGGCCTGGGCTCGCTCTAAAATCCCTGGCCAACGGGTGGGAGCATCCCTATTGCCACCAACAACCCCAGACCACGGAGATGCGCTGCAGGCACCGGGCGACCGCCCCAAAATCATCGGGGAACTGTAACAGCGC